CTCAGAAGTTGCTGCTTTAAATGAATCAAACTGAACCCTAATCGCCTGCTTTGACTTTGTTTTTTTTAGATGACTAGTCAACCATGACTTATGATCCCCTGTCAGTTTCTGCTATTAGACGCGGGCAGGAACTCAAACAGTGAAGGCAGCACTGAAAACTTCTAGCCAGCACAACAGATGCTAAAACACTTGTGTCCTACAATGCACGAACTAGGATTCTGAACGAGCGCGAGTGCAGAGAGCATCAGGTGCACGTACTGGACTGCACCACGGCCTGAGTCTGCTCAGATGTGCCCGACGCGATGTTGGTCAAAGCCCAGGCCGCCTCAAACTGCAGAGACGGGCTACAGAACAGAGGGGGGGACAAAAACAAAAGATTAGACTCTTAACACACCAACTCAATCACGGCGTCAGACTCGTCACAGGCATCCTCATGCGGCACGTTCCTGCGCTTCAGCAGGTGCTCGTCTCTCTTATTCTGCGGGAAACACAGCAGGTATTAGCAAGCGTTCCCATGGCTCACTCTCAGCAAGCGTGAACACGTCTGACTTTTCTGAGCTCCACCACCACCTCCGTCCGCTGTCTTCTCATCGTCTGTACAGGAGAAACCAGAATGATCAGTAATTACACACACACACACACACACACACACACACACACACATGCCCTGTGATTAAACATCAACTCAATTCTGTATGCAAGTCTACAGTGACCCACCCAACCTACAGAGATCATTTAACCTGATAATGTCAGGCAGTGTTTCCAGCCCTTATTGAAAAATCTGTGTCGTGTATACATTGTGCTTCACTTAGATTGAGCTTCAAATGACGAGGCCTCTGGTGAACACCGGTGTATTGCAAGACTATTAAAAACATACCACAATTAGTGTCATTGAGCCAAACCTGAGTGCATCAGAAAGCCAATCAACAGTCTCCAACACAGGCTGAAGTGATGCATGCACTTGAGCTCACTGCGAACTCACACACACACACTCTCTCATTCACACACACACACACTCTCTCATTCACACACACACACACTCTCTCATTCACACACACTCTCACACACACTCTCTCATTCACACACACACACACTCACACACTCTCACACACACTCTCTCATTCACACACACACACACACTCTCACACACACTCACACTCTCTCACACACACTCTCTCATTCACACACACTCTCACACACACTCTCATTCACACACTCTCTCATTCACACACACTCTCTTGGGGCGTCTGAACACAAGCACGCCGCAGAAGCGCGTCTGGAGCATGCTAGCGGTTAGCAGAGCTCATGCTAACACCCGCGTGATGTGCCCGGAGAGGACTCGGACACCACACCCACACAAACCCCGTCCAGAATCACTAATCCCGCCCGACCCGAGCCGCTCCCAGCGCGCATTCTGACGGCTGCTAATAAACACGCACTTGTTCTTTTTTAGTTACTAACTCTCGTGTAAGTAAGCTATACTAACTAAGCATCTGTCAGTACAACATACTATTGCTATTTCACTTTACTTAGTTTTTTCAAGGCAATCGGTTTGCATGCTTTTTTTAAGTAAGCCCAACTAATTAGATTTTACAGTGCACGTGTAAAGGTACCAGGTCACATGTGATCGCTTTTCAATACATCTTCTCAATTTTCACACATTTTTTTTTTCATTCAATAATCGCACATCATGTTTCTGTTTCACAGACAGTCCTTGTTGGCTGATTATCAGCTCTTCTGAATTCAAGATCAATGAGCTAGTGCCCCAAGCATCAGTCCCAGAATCAAGGCACTAAGGAATGTTCATTAAGAATCAAGTCCACGCAGCAAACAGTCAAGTTCAAGTGCAACAAATACTTCACACTGTTCAGTTCATTTCATTTGTCTAGGCCTTTAAACAGTGCATGCTCTTTTTTCTTTTCGGCCCAACAACAGTTCATTCCGTGTGAGTATTACAGTCCCTTAGTTGGCAACAGTTAAAGGCACAATATGTACAATTTTTTTATTAAAATACCCCAAAACCACTAGAACGGTGTTATATATTTTGCTGACTTGTGCACTTGCATTATCCCAAATGTTTAAATCCAGAGAAATAAGCAGTTTTAACTCGTGACACGGAGCGTGTCCATAGTGTCGCCTGCTAATGACGTCACAACCCCTCGGTTTCCATCTGATTATGACTATTCGGCTGTATTCTGAACCGGTGGGGATCAACTTGTACATAGTACTCTTCATCACTTTCACTGTCATTCTGTGGCTCATGTTCCTCTCAGCAGCTGTGCTTTTCTGTTGGTGTTTGTGCTTTAGTGTAGTATTTTGAGGTAAGTGATCACAGGGTAGAAGATGATTGCGATGCTACACTCTTCATCTGCCTTTTCTCTGGTTTCACTTCATAGATTGGAGTATCCTCAGTGACAATGTGGACTTCATCCTCCCAGAAATTTCTAACTTTTCCTGGGCCCCCTTTTTGAGTCAGATTTCTCACCAGAACTCTATTGCCAGGAAATAGTGACGTGACATGTGACATGTGGCCAAGTATGGTGACCCATACTCGGAATTAGTGCTCTGCATTTATCCCATCCAAAGTGCACACACACACACCGTGAACACCCACCCGGAGCGGTGGGCAGCCATTTATGCTGCGGCGCCCAGGTAGCAGTTGGGGGTTCGGTGAACACACTGCTGCGGCGCCCGGGGAGCAGTTGGGGGTTCGGTGAACACACTGCTGCGGCGCCCGGGGAGCAGTTGGGGGTTCGGTGCCTTGCTCAAGGGCACCTCAGTCGTGGTATTGAAGGTGGGAGAGAGCGCTGTACATTCACTCCCCCACCTACAATCCCTGCCGGCACGAGGTTACGAGTCCGACTCTCTAACCATTAGGCCACGACTTCCCCCACGATGAGTACATCTGACTTTTTGGTCATCATTTCTTTTGTTTCTCTCAGTACACTTCTTTGCATGCTCACTGGCAATCTCATAAGCCTCTTGCATACCCTTTGTCCACCTCTCCACATATCCATTGTGGTCAATGGAGCCCTTGTCTGGATTGAGGCCAAACCATGCATCAATTGGAAGCCTTGGAGAGTGCCCGAACATTAGGTAGAAAGGTGAGAATCCAGTGACTTCGCTTTTAGTACAATTGTAGGCAAACACTAGCTTATTCAATTCCAATTCTATTTCTGTTTCTCTGTGAGAGTTTTGAGCATTTGCAGAATGGTCCGATTGAATCTTTCTACTTGTCCGTTTCCTTGCGGGTGGTATGGGGTCTTTCTAGAGCCAGCGATGTCGCTATATTTTTCGGAGCTGATCGAAGAGTTCGATCTGCTTCAGTCTTTCCAGATTTTGAAGTTGTAGCATATGCTTTCACGAATCGAGTGAAATGGTCAATAATAACAAGGATGTACTCGTAACCCCCTTTGCACTTGTCCAAGTGAAGAAAGTCAATGGATGTTAACTCAAATGGATATGTCGTCTTGATGCTCTTTGAGGGGTGCCCTTATCTCTCTGCATGTTTTTTTTGTTTTGTTTTATGCATGAACAGGTTCTCAGCACATTGTGTTCGATCTCCTTTTGCATGTAGGGCCAGAAGAAACGATCTCTGATGAGGCTGGTTGTGCGGTCAAGACCTTGGTGACCCATCACATCATGCAGTTCCCTTAAGACAGTACTCTTAAACTGGGCAGGCAACACTAGCTGCATTCGTTGTGATGTTTTGCGGTGCAGTATGCCATACTCGTCCAACACCAACTTGTCCCACTCACGAATTAGACCTTTAACTGTGGGATTAGCTGACCGCCACTGCTTTGAAGAAGGTCTACTTTTTGACCTTCACTGTTACTTTCATTAGCATTGGTGGGGTTTTTTTAACCTCACTGATCATGGCTGTTGTTGGACAATGCGATGCTGGTAGTACAGATTTTATTGATTGCATTGTCCCAAGCTCAATTTTCCCTGCAAGCCTGATATCATGCCCTGTGATGTTCTGTACGCTGATCTTGACCACTGGACGACTTCCTTTCTGGAGAGTTACTAGGGTTTCCAGAGGTTCCAGACCATCTGGACACTGTGGGTTTACATGTGGTTCGAACAAGAAAACAGTGTCTTGCTTCATATATGGCACTTTAACTTGACACGGTATCTGCATAACTGTGCATTTTGGTATGTTCACAGGGTCTTTCATCGTTATCTCCAAATATTCACCCGGATTCTCAGTAGTCACAAGATTAATGAAGGTCTGTATCTTATTTTTCTTCATGCCAGGGAAGGCATACTTGACAATCTCGTGCAAACGTCCGTTACTCACTTCACTGTCTTCATTCGCTTCAATCTATCTCATCACTTGTTCATTCACATTGTAGCCGATGATTGGTTTGGATAACCTTTGATCTTTTAAGACTAGGACAGGAATGACTAACTCTTTTATGCTATCACCAGGAGAAGCCAATTTGAAAGTTATCTCTACCCATCCAACATAAGGCATACTGGTCCCATTGGCTTCCACAAGCTGTAGGCCATCTGGAGCTTCTGTTGCCTCAGAAATGTCCTTCAGTTTCACTTCAGGTATGCACTTGTTTACATACAGGGTGGTCACACATATATATATATATGACGGACACCGTGCTGCGTTATCACGGGAACATCCCAGCTGAAGATAATGAGGAAATTACATCGCTGATTAAACTGAAGATTCAAGTGTGCTGTTAAAGCATTAAATGCTTGTTGTAATATGTAAATACATAGTTATATTTGTCTGTACAGCCTATATTAAACTAAATAAGTCTAAAAAAAGTCGTTTGATAACTTCCCAAATAAAATGATAAATACTGTGTTTCTTGTAAGAGCGGATGGAGACCATAGAGCATAGTAAGCAAACCTCAACATATGGATATAAAAATACATAGAATAGATAACACACTGCATTCATTAATGCAACGAAAAAACTGTACTCAACCATTCTTCAGCACAAACAGCATTTTAATGGATTGCTCATAAAAGCCTTTTTTTCAGTCATGAACTAAAGAAGAGTATGATGCATCATTTACATTTCATCTTGTGTTAATATTTAATATAAACATTCATTTTGTTATTCTTCGTCTCAGAGAGACATCGATATGTAAAATAATACATAGAATCATGAACTGAGGCTGTAGTTTGTCCAGGTCAAAGGTCAGCACGTCGGGGTCAGGGATCAGCACGTTCAGCTTCTTCAGCGGGTAGTCGCCGAGTGAACGTGACATGGTAAGAACGCCCTGCACACGCCATGAGCCGCTGAAACTGATGAAGCCACCTAGAGCAGAGAAACTAAATACTAATTACTGTGGGATTTTAGCAGGCCAATCACTGAAGAAAATCATTCAAGAAGAGATTTTCTTTCTTAGGTTGTCCAGAGGCCTATTTCTCACACACACACACACACACACACACACGCTCACTCACGCGCGGGGTCAGGGATCAGCACGTTCAGCTTCTTCAGCGGGTAGTCGCCGAGTGAACGTGACATGGTAAGAACGCCCTGCACACGCCATGAGCCGCTGAAACTGATGAAGCCACCTAGAGCAGAGAAACTAAATACTAATTACTGTGGGATTTCAGCAGGCCAATCACTGAAGAAAATCATTCAAGAAGAGATTTTCTTTCTTAGGTTGTCCAGAGGCCTATTTCTCACACACACACACACACACACACACACGCTCACTCACGCACACACACACACACACTCACTCACGCACACCCACTCACTCCACTCACACACACACACTCACGCACACTCACTCACACACACACATTCACACAAACACACTCTCATACACACACAAACACACTCACTCACACTCCCTCACTCACACACACACACACACACACACACACTCACACAAACACACTCTCAC